ATACGTTCCGAGAGAAAGTTAGCTTGATTAACAAGATTCATAAAGTAATCCGAAAGACCACCGCCTTCGTGCCTTCCATAATTCAAGTTTAAAAATAATTCCCTCTGCTTTGCTATTCCCCAATATCGATCAAGGAAGGCCTCCTAAAAATCCTCAAACTTTAGCCAAGTATCCTCTTTCATTGCTGCCCAGTCCGCCGCTGTACCTCGTAGACAATTAACAGCAAGTCCGATCTTGTCGCTATCCGGAACAACGGCATCCAAAAACAATTTCTTTAACTTTTTTATATAAGCCTGTGGGTGTTTCCTACCCTCCGGGCTGAAAACAACGTCATTACCCCCCATTCCTTCCATACATAAATAAAGTTGTGATCTGGCGCCTTACTCTCGCTACAAACATCTTTTTTGTCTGACCCCCCCTTTTACAATCATCGATAAGTCCTCGAAAATTTTTTGTAACCCTATCATGCCAGCCGCTAGCTGTGATAAAACACTATTTAGTTCGGAATCCATATTCCCTGAAAAATCATCCAGTACCTCGGTAGGTTTATTTTTCTGAGCCCTCGATTTCTTAGGTATAACAGAACTGAGCTAATAAATATTCATGTACATTACATTGGCGATTATACATTAACCATACAGACTCAGTACTCCGAAAAATATGTTGTTAAACAAGACAACAAGAAAACATAAAATTATACGAGAAAATATATATATATATATGATGGTGTTTCTGATTATTAAAAATTAAGAGGGACGTGAGTGAAATGATTTCAGTTTTCAAAAGTTCAAGGGATGAGTGAAGTTTTTTTAATTGTTTATGACAAGAAGAGATTTCACGAGAAAGTATTTTCTCACCCAACCTTTGTAAAGGAGATTGTAGTCCATCTTCTGCAAGGTGATTGTGTATGATGATGTTTATTGATGTTATGCGATGGTTGATGTGTGGTGGTAGCATGTTATTCTTCCTGCACTTGATCAGAAATATCCGTCTGTTAACTTCATGAGCCAACCGTTTTCTGTGTTTAATCCAGTCCTTCAATAGTGTAACCGAGCGAGTTCCATGACGTTTTTCAATTTGTTGGAAGTATCCCAAATCTGCGGATGTTACGTGAGAAGTAGACATTGCCAAAGCCAACGACTAGTTGGGCACAAAATACAATTACTTGTTAATTGGGAAAATTGGCAAAAGTTTTAGGCTAAAGTTGACTCTTTTGACGATAAAATCAAGCTTTCGGCATTCTCTATGGAGCCATCATCAGGATTCTGAAAAACACAATTGTGATGCTAGCAAAGAAGACAGATTTAAAATGTCAGACAACTTACTCGTCGGTGAGGTTGCAGCCACAAGGTATTTCAGAAAGAACGTAGAGAAAATCGAACTTGTCTTCAGTATAAAAAACAAAAGGAGGGGACATTGGGCTTGTTAAAAACGACAGATACCTTCGTTAAAAGTTAAGAAAAATAAAATTTTTTATCAATAAACCCGAACAAGTTAAAAATACTGCACGTGGGGAAACATTTTGTTGAAACAATCGGAATGCAGTCCCTAACCTTCTACTACCCCTACACATGGAGAGGGAGAAAGGCACGGAACAGTAAAGCGTCGACAGAAGACGCGACGGAACGTAGAAATGTGCACCTCCCTGTCCATCTTTGGGTATGAAGTATACGAGGGAAGCTCAGTAAATCTCCACTAAATTGCTGGAATAACTTGTTTTGGAACAGAGTGTGTGGTTCATCTGAGTGCAAGAATGTGTGATATTAATATAACCTTGAAAAGATGGGTTATGTGAGTGAGAAAATGTATTCTAGTTTTGTGAAGATGTTGGATCAATTTGGACATGTAGCCGTTCTAGCTTTTCGCAATTCAACAGGTAGGAATAAATTACACTGAGCTGCTTAACATCAGCCTTTTTATTCATGCAATGATCTGTCATGAAAATGAGGGACATTTCTAAAAATAGACGTCTTGAGAGTCTTTTTTCTTTATCAAGAACCTCAATACTGCCATAATTCATAGAGTGACCTGTGTTGTTGATATGCAACGCCAAAGCACATCTTTCTGGATGTAATCTGGCATCACTTTTGTGTGACGTTATCCTGCCTTTCAGCGACCTAGAAGCTTGGCCTATATAAACTAAATTGCAGTTGTTGCAATTAATACGATAGACAGTATTGGTTGAATCAAGCAACTGAACCTTATCTGTCATTTTGGACAACAAACTGTTGACTGTGAGAACTGATTTACAAGCAAAACGACAATTAAAGGGATTATACAGCCTGATCAATTTTGGTGTTAGTTCTTTGATGTATGGCAAGACAACATAGTTAACTCTGAAAATAGGAGCAACCACTGTAGTGCTGTTGTTCTCATTAGTTGAAGAAATAATGGGTATCTGGTTTGATTGACCCGTGTTGTCATTTTCATTATTGTTATTAGTGATTGGCAAAATATTCGGAGGAGAGCTGAACAAGATTCTGTTAACCAAATACTTAGGATAGCCATTTTTGATAAATAAGACTGAAAGCTTCCTTAAATTGGAAAGATGGAAAGTACTGTCAGAGATTTTTATAACCCTGTTCTTAATTTGTTTCACCAGGTTTATTTTTATTTTAAGTTCATGGTAAGACCTGAAGTTCAGGAACCTTCCGGAAGAAATTGGTTTCCTGTACCAGTCTACCAGTAATAAATTGTCATTGGTACGAATCAATCTTGAATCCAGAAAGGGAACAGATTGATTGTCATCTTCTTTTTCGATGGTGAACTGGATGTAAGGATCATAACTATTAAAAACCTCAACAATATCATCCACCCTATCATAAGGAAGACAATAAATACAGGGTTATCCAAATTAAGTGTCCACCATTAGTAACTTTGTTATTAGTGAAAATACAAAGTTGTTTGAATTAGCAAACTAGTAGCATTTTTAACGCTGGTAAAAATGAGAAATAAAAAAAAACAATTGAGAGTCGTTATTTTGATTTTTTTCAGGAAAATAGCATTTTTTTAAATGGAAACCCCTGTATATTATATTTTTTTCTGTTAAAGCATCAAATTTTAAACAAAAAAGTTCATAATGACTTTTCCGCTAAAGTCAAAAATAAAGTCAAAATAACGATAAATATTTTTAATTATTTGCAGTATTATAATATTAAGACGGCTATGAAAACAACATGGCGTTCGCGATTTGACAGCATTAAGATAAGCGACAAATTGTTAATCTGGACATACTCGCAACTAGGAGGCTTTGGAAAACAATGATAAAATCAAATAATGTCAAACATTAGTGTAAATACTTGTTTATAAGCTTTATTCTGTCATTAATTTAAAGAAAAATGTTCTCCCATGAAGAAAAGTGTGATATGTTAGAATGCTATTTAGTGTGTAGAAAATCCTCCTTGAGAGCAAGTACAGTGAATTATATCCCGCTCGCATTCAACCGTATGAACGATATTTTCTGAGACTTTATCGAAAATTTAGGGGCAACGAAAATGTTTTTGCTAAAACAAGGGCAAAAAAAGAATTCATAATAAGCGAGGCCACGGAAATTGCAGTTATTGGATATTTTGAAGCTTATCGTGAGAATTCAATAGCAGATATTCTCAAGGACTCTAATTTCAGTTATGGTACTGTTCAAAGGATTTTAAAAAAATACAAATTTATTCCGTATAAGTACCGACCAGTTCAAACGCTTTTGGCAGGGGATCCAGAGAGAAGACTTGTCTTTTGCCATTGGTATCTTAGCTTCTGTCGCCAAAATGTAAATAACTTTCGTTACCTTTTATGGACAGATGAATCAAATTTTTCAAATTCTGGAATGTTTAATAGAAAAAACCACCATTATTGGTCAAGAGAAAATCTTTTGTTAGTACATCCAAGAGGCCCACAAGTCCGTTTCAGTTTCAACGTTTGGTGCGGTATAATTGGTTCAAAAATTGTTGGCCCGTTCTTTTATGAGGGAACCCTAACTGGTGAAAGATATGTGGAATTTATGTCAGAAATTCTGACTAATTTCTCAGACGAATTGGATCTTATAAGTAGACATCATCTGCATTTTCAGCAAGATGGCGCACCTGCCCACAACTCCAGAGGTACTTATCATTTTCTAAGTACTACTTTTAATGATCAGTGGATAGGAACAAATGGCCCAATACAGTGGCCTCCCAGATCACCAGATCTAAGCCCACTTGATTACTTCTTGTGGGGTTACTTAAAGAACCAAATTTACAAGCGAAGGTACGATAACCTTGACGCGTTGAACACTGCAGTTAGGGAAAAGATAACCCAGATAGATGGTAGGACCATAGTTAAGACAGTTCGAGCAGTTGAAAAACGTGCCCAAAAATGTATTGAAGAACAAGGTGGTGTTTTCGAGCATCTTCTTTAAAAAAAATTGTTATTGTATTTTGTAAGATTATAAGTTGATGTTGAAAATAAAGTTTGTCGATACAATTTAATTGTTTCAGATTGGAGGCCATAACCTCAACAATTTGTAACCTAGGAGAAAAGTTATTGTAATCTTTTTTGTTTAAAATTTGATGCTTTAACAGAAAAAAATATAATATACAGGGGTTTCCATTTAAAAATATGTTATTTTACTGAAAAAAATCAAAATAACGACTCTCAATTATTTTTTTTATTTCTCATTTTTACCAGCGTTAAAAATGCTACTAGTTTGCTAATTCAAACAACTTTGTATTTTCACTAATAACAAAGTTACTAATGGTGGACACTTAATTTGGATAACCCTGTATATGGCAATACTTGAATAACAACATCAAGCAGGTCATCCATTACATATTCTGCCAAAATTGGAGATAAAACAGAGCCCATGGGGCAGCCATGTATTTGTGAAAACACTTTGTTATTAAAGGTAAAGTAATTGTTCTGGAAGAGGTACTCTACTCTACTCTAATCACATGATCAGGGGGTATTTGAGCCATTGAGGATTGGATTGAGTTTCACGATGCATTTGAATCTCTTATTTTGCATAACAGTCAAATAGGTGATTATCAACGTTTCGTATATCTGAAAGCGGCTTTGTCGGGCCCCGCTTTAGATGTTATCGCGTCAATCAAAGTTTGCAAAGAGAATTTTTCAGTTGCATGGAGCACTCTATGGGACAGTTATTCAGACAAAAGAACTTTAGTTCATGAACATATCAAGGCTCTTCACGCTATTCCGTCTACAAGTAAGGAATCTTCAACTGGTCTAAGACAAATCGTAGATCATGTCAACATACATTATCGTGCTTTACAAAACTTCAATGAGCCTACCGCGGATTCATTGTTAGTTTTTCTTATCACGGACAAGTTAGACTCACTCACAGTCAGAGAGTGGGAAGCAAAAGGTCATTCAGACAATTCACCAAAGCTAACAGATCTGTTGCAGTTTCTACGTGATAAGGCTAATCTTCTGATGAAATTAGAAGGCCAAAAGAAGCCTTTTGATTTTCCACCCAATAGAAAACCCAAAGACTTCAAATCAGAGCGGAATGCTTCGAAATCTTTCTAAACTTCAAATAAGTCTCATCAAAATTGCAATGCGAATCAAAAAATGTATGCTTGCCCTAAATTTCTTCGTCTTTCGATCCCTGCTAGGGTCAAGAAAATCAATTCATTGAAACTATGTTTGAATTACTTGTGGACAGGTCATAAATCAGATTCATGTAAGTATGGTCATTGTTCAAAGTGTGACAGTAAGCACAATTCATTGCTTCATTCATCAAGCTCACAGAGCAGTGAACTCCCACTCCAGGGTAATACAGGTTCAAGCTCCAGTCAAGCTCATGCAAAGCAATCTCTTACTTCATACAACGTAACTTCAGGTCAAGTTCTTCTTTCCACAGCGGTTGTTTTGGCGAAAGTCAATTCTGGGAAGGCACATCAAAGCAGACTACTTCTAGATTCGGGAAGTCAGTCGAATTTCGTTACACAGCGATTTGTTGAAAAACTTCAGTTACCTCAGTCTGACATTAGTATGACGATTGTTGGCATTACGAGGGTAACCTCAATGATAAATTCAAAGTATGAAATAGAAATAAAGTCTCTGCACTATTCAGCTATCATTTGTTGTCTTATCGTACCTAGTATTTGTGAGTACGCTCCAAATGTTCCTGTTGATCTGACAAGCATCAAAATACCGGAAAATTGAAAATTAGCTGATCCCGAGTTTCATTCACCACGGGAAGTTGATGTACTAATCGGTGCAGGTCTGTTTTGGGAAATTCTTTGCAGTGAAAGGATTAACATGGGCTCATCCAATCCCATTCTTCAGAGAACAAGGTTCGGCTGGATCACAGCTGGTCCGTTCATCTCAAGTTCGCAGAATCGGTCAATTTGCCAATTTGTTCAGGCCACAGGCGTGCAGTCTGAACTAACACGATTCTGGGAAATCGAAGAGTGCCCAGTTCAAAGAGTATTTTCAAAAGAGGAACAGACATGCGAGCAGCATTTCATAGATACTCATACAAGATATTCACAAGGCCGCTTCATGGTCTCCATACCATTCAAAACACCTACAGACAAGTTGGGTGATTCAGAAAAAAAAGCTCTCAAGCGTTTTGACAATTTAGAGCGCAAGCTCTTAGCAAATCCCGAGTTTCGCAAACAGTACTCCGATTTCTTATCAGAATATCAGTCTTTAGGGCACATGTCCTTGGTGCAAGATGTAGACAGCAATAACTACTATCTCCCTCACCATGCGGTACTCAAGGAGGACAGCCTCACAACAAAACTTCGCGTCGTATTTGACGGGTCTTGTGCAACAAGTTCAGGACTGTCGCTCAATGACATCCAAATGGTAGGCCCTAATATTCAAAATAATCGTCTGTCTATACTGATAAGATTCAGACAACATCGCTATGTAGTATCAGCGGATATATGTAAAATGTACCGGCAAATACTGGTCAGGCCAGATCAAAGACGATTTCAGCTGATATTCTGGAGATCAGATCATTCAGAACCTCTTCGTTCATACCAGCTGAATACAGTCACTTATGGGACTGCTTCAGCAGCTTATCTTGCAGTCAGGGTTTGCACCAACTAGCTATCGAGAACGAGCAGCAGTTTTCACAAGCATCTCATATCATCAAGAGAGATTTTTATGTCGATGAATTGTTAACAGGCTCAAACTCTCTTGAAGAATTGGCAACACTATGCAAAGACATATCCAATATCCTAAGTCAAGGATGTTTCGAACTAAGGAAATGGGTTTCAAATCATCCCGACATACTTTCAGACAGCAATGCTCATCTTCAGAGCACAGTACGCTTCAGTTGGGTTCCCACGAAAACTCCAAAACTCTAGGTTTACTGTGGCAGCCTCAAAGGGATAAACTCCTATTTAAAATCCAAGAGCAGACTGATTCTGCTCAAGCAACCAAAAGAGTCATATTGTCATATATTGCTCAAATATATGATCCCTTAGGACTGCTCAGCCCATGCACGATCATAGCCAAGATCCTTCTACAAAAACTATGTTCAGTGCAACAATCCTATCATCATCGAACTTCATACATTCTGCGATGCCCCAGAAGATGCATATGGCGCTTCAGCCTACATTCGCAGCATAGATAGCAAGCCGACAGTATCAGTGCAACTGCTTTGCGCAAAGGCAAAGGTGGCACCTCTGAAGAGGACCACTCTCCCAAGACTTGAGCTCTGCGGTGCTCTAATCGCAGCCAAGCTAACAGAGACAATCATTAGACAATAGAGTGGAAATTCATTCCTGCGCCTGCGCCGCACTTCGGTGGTATCTGGGAAGCAGGGGTTAAATCCGCCAAGTTTCACATAAAAAGGGTATTAGGTAATGCTTCTTTAGTCTAAGAAGACTTTCTAACTATTTTAAATCAAGTCGAAGCAGTGCTCAACTCCAGACCCCTCTATCCGGCTAGCTCCGATCCTAACGATTTAAATCCTATCACTTCCGCCCACTGTCTAATTGGAAGACCTATCACTTCACCGCCAAATCCAGATCTAAGAGACATAAAGGAAGCTCGCCTAGACAGATTTCAACGGTTGCAGCAGCTTCAACAACACATATGGAACCGCTGGTCCAGCGAATACATCTCCGATCTACAGAGACGAGGGAAGTGGTTTCAAATTTCAAAGGCGATCAAAGTTGGAACACTAGTGGTCATCAAGGACAACAATCTTCCGCCGCTCTGCTGGCTTATGGCTAGAGTCATCGATGTTCATCCAGGGAAAGACGGCATCATCAGAACAGTGTCCCTGAAGACGTCAAAGGGTGTCATCAAGAGGGCAGTGGCTACAATCTGTCCGCTTCCAACTGAGGACTTTTGGAGAACTTGACTTCTCCAAGGCGGGGGCATATTCCGGCAACTTCTGCAGACATCTGTACACATCTGGCAACACCGCCCGAAGAACGAGACATTCACGCGCCGACCATCAAAGCAGACGGGCGTGGCAATCAAGCAAAATCATTCAGACACAATTAATACAGTATATTGTTACATTTAGTCAATATACAATAAACAATCATCAGTGTCAAAGTTCATTCATCAATTCATATACATATATCGTCCCACGAAATTACGGCAAAAATGTTCCACACAACTCTAGACTATGATTTTCTTCAAAATATGCAAAAGTTCTCGATGGCTAGTCGCCGACTTGATTTCGACGCTAGATCAGCTACTCAGCAACGTAGTTGATTTATTACAAAATCCTGGTTCCACATGGACTGCTCAGTAATAATAAGGACAGATCTCACCAGAAATGAGAAAAGATTGTTGACCATACCTTGTTGCTACGTTGTCCCAAACGCTTTCAGTGTTGTTATTTGTGCACGAAGTTCAGTACTGTGTCATTTTTCCAAACATCTTCATTCGTCCTTGGACTATCACAAGCTAGGTCTATGTTGCTATCCCTATCAACCGAGTCCAATGTTACAACGTTATCTCAAATGTATTTGTTCATCCTTGGTGTGGAGCTGACTATCCCAAGCCAGGTCCACGTTGCTATCCCAAGCAACCGAGTCCAATGTTTAAGCGTTATCCCAAAGGTCTTAGTTCGTCCTAGGTATGGAGTTGGCTATCACAATCTAGGTCCAGGTTGCTATCCCAAGCAGCAGTGTTTGAACGTTATCCCAAACGTCATGTTAGTCCCAGTCTACAGCGCTGGTGAGGCATTTATACTAATATTCGTTCAACTTGCACCTAAAACAGATCGGTTAGCCGTCAGTTACCTGATGGTGACGCCCCTTCAGAAAAAGAGGCCTGCACGCCACTTTCCAATTTTTGGTCCGCGACGAAGGAACCTTGAGGCGATCGTCGGTCGGTATCTCGTTCCACAATGCACATCTATCGGCCAACCTTGTACTACGATATGTATTCTAAATATTTACTTCGACGAGGAGGGAACATAATGACACCTTTCTTCAACATTCTAGTCATCGGTTGCGCGATGCGAGAATAATCTTTAATAAATTTTCGATAGAATCCGGCAAGACCTAAAAACCCTTTGATCTGTTTTATGCTCTTAGGGATGGGTAATTCCACGATAGCTTTTATTTTGTCTGGATTGGGTTTTATTCCTTGTTCGGTAATAGCGTGACCTCTGCGGAGAAATTCCGTTTTATCTAGCTGTACCTTTAAGTTGTAGGCTTTCAATTTTTTAAATACAAATTCTAAGTGTTGAATGTGCTGTTCAAGTGACTTGGAATATACCAAAATATCATCCATGTAGAAAATACAACTTTTATGTACTCGTAGTTGGTCACGAAGGACGTCATCCATTAAACACTGAAATGTCACCGGAGCATTACGCGAGCCAAAGGGCATCATCCGGACATATTTGAGGTGCTGATTGTTTACCGTAAATGCTGTTTTTTCAATGGATTCAGGATTTATCTCGATTTGATGAAATCCTTGAGAGAGGTCGAGTGTCGAAAAAAATGAGCATTTGCCGATATTGTCCAGAATTTCGTCAATTCTGGGTAGTATGTTTTTATACTTTTGGCAAAGTTGAAGGATATTTTGTTTTTCATCCGAGAGATGAGATATGTTTGATACTTATTACTTGAGCTATGTTGAAATCAGTTTCTCGGACATCGGGGTTTTTAATGTTGTATTCAAGCAAGGAATCTACGTCCATGGGCTCTATGCAACATATCTCTTCTGGGGTAGAGTGCTCTACAGGAATAGGTATGGTGACGTGGAAATCATGAGCCGTGGCTATGCAATCAGGAAATACGATACCATTTATTTCAAATTCCGGAATAACGACAGTGCCATTTTCAATTTTGACTAGTATAGTGATATGACTGACATACTCGAGACGAGTAGGTTTGATTGATGTAGTTCTTTCGACAACGAACGGAATAATCGATTCTTTAATTGAACAGTTTGATTAGTGTAGTCAATTTTCGCTCCTAATTTCTGAAGATCCTCCGTCCCTAGCAACAGGTCAAACTTATCGTGCCAATCGACCACCTTGATACTTAGAACTTTATTGATGCCGAATCCGTTCAGGATTGGGTATCGAATATTTTTAG